TCCGGAACCTCTGGGCGTTGGGGCTCCCGAGGCTGCTCGCGCTCCTGGCTGCAAACTGCCGTTCTGCTGCGCTTGGGTGGGCGGGGCTGCTGGTGGGGTGCCGGTGGTGGCGGCGGTGGGTTCGCGGGATCTTCCGCACCTGGCGCTCGCGGCCCTGGGTGGCTGGGAACGAGCAGGTCGTAGTGGTCGCGGCCGTTGTACCACAGGTGAAGGACGTCCGGTCCTGGGAGTTCTGGTGGCACCTGTTCGTGCGTGCGGTCGAAGGACTGGATGGTGCCGTCCTCGCCGCGCCAGTGCAGCGTGACCCTTTGCTGTCTCATCAGGCTGAAGGCCACAATGGCCGTGTCCCCTGGCAGTAGCAGTAGCAGTAGGAGTAGTAGTAGTAGTAGTAGTAGTAGTAGTAGTAGTTGTTGTTGTTGTTGTTGTTGTTCCAGCAATACTTGTGGCACTAGTAGCAGTAGTAGTTGTTGCAGTAATTCTTGTAGTTGTAGTTGCAGGAGTAGGTTTAGGAGTGGGAACAAGGGTAGGAGAAGGATCAGCAGGAGTAGGTAGCTTCACCAGCTGCTACTACTGCTTCTACTGCTAGGGTAAGGGTGCAAGACAGGGGTAAAGCTAAAGTGTTCAGCATTTGCGCCGTGCTCACAGCGCCTGTCCTTGAAAAAGATGGTCTCTGTCGTGGCACAGTGACGAAAGCTCTTACTCCCCCAATACCCAACGAAAGAAATGGCAAAACTTTCAGGGCGATACCAAATATCAGTCTAAACTTTTCAACCCCAAACCCTGAACCGAAATCCTACACCCAAGGCTGGGTATTGGAGAACAAGAAGCTTGTCAAAACCGAAACTTATGCGGGCTAGGCTGTACAATCAAAGGGCAGCAGAGACCGGTTCATCCCCGGTCCGTTCCTTAGGCCTCGCTTAGTGCAAGGCACTGCCCCTCCGTGCCAAAACCAACCGGGACCACTTGATCCCAGTTCTAGACGGCTACATAAAACAGCGAGTTCTGCTGGCAAAATCCACAGGGCTTCAGCCATGTGAGGAGCTGACATCATGGCAAACGAGAGTGCGAAATGAGCCCCTTGGAAACTGTCTTTCTGTACAGGTGGCACAAGTGGCAGGTACTCAAGACCACGCCAGAGTGCAAAAGACACATGCAGGGATTGGACATCAGGACAAGTTTGAAACGTGCCTGAGAGGTTTGTGGGCAAAAGACTCCGGAACGTATCCCATTCATGACATTCAAAGGCACCCTAAACCTCCAGGCGGTCTGGCACCAGCGTGCCGATGACCTTCGTCTTTGACCCGGTTTCTGATTGATGAATTCGGTGCCTCACGCTGGCCACACACTCTCACTTTACAGGAGCCCATGAGTTCAGCCCAAACAAAATCGAAGACATAACAGTGCAGAAGAGCTCATGGAGCTTCTGACGCCTCATCAGACTCATCAGAGTCCGACGAGGGCCAATTCCGGGGAGTTGTCTTTGCGCGGCGGCTGGGTCTCTGAAGCGTCTCATCGTCACTGTCGCTGTCTTCGTCAACCTCCAGGAAGGTGCGGCGCACCTTCACGTGATGCTGGGCTGATGTCTCTTCCTCCTGGAACTGTGGTCTAAGGCTTATAACTCAGGGTCTATGGGTGCTTATACGTAGGGCTTACGTGGAGTTCATGTAGGTTTGCCCTAACAAACTTCACATGATATACTGGCATCAGACAAAGTATTGTTGGTATTCTGGCTGCGCTTGAACCGTCAACCCTAAACCCTAACCCTAAGGTTCAGGAATTCGAGGTTTGGGTCCTGCGTGAGGTTCTGGCTCAGCGCTGCCAGCTTGTCGTCGAACACGAAGCGTGGCTCGGCATCTGCACAGACACCTTGCAGGTTTTTACTATAAGGGGCCTTAACAATGTGAATCGGGTATAAGGGCTGCATAAGGGCTTTATTATAGGGGCCTCAACAGTTTGAAACGGTTTTTTCTTTTTGGAGTAGATTCTGTGATCATTGCAACAAGGAGCTCGGCGCGATGGACCCGCCGTTGAGGCGGCGGTAGGCCCTCTTCTGCACGTTGAAGCAGGCCATGAACATCTCCTGGGCAATGGACCACCTGTCTGACCTCACCACACACTGGTAGTGCACTAGCCGCTGGCCGTCGAGCGTATCAAAGGCTTCGAGATCCAAGCCCAAGTTTCTGGCAAACTGGTTCACGAAGGCTGCGAAATGGAACTTGCCAGAGGGCATGCGGATCCACGACTCCAGCGCTATCGGGTCATCGTCCGTCCGCACCCTCACTGCAGGCTCTTCGATGGAATCCGGTGGCAGAGGTAGGAGGGGCGGCCCTCTTTTGCAGCTGCTTACCAAAAGCACCAGATACATCTTTGCGTCGATGGCCCGCATCTCTGCAAGCCCGGGCCTGTTGAAGTAGCAAGTTGCTTTGCACCGTGCAGATTCCAGCGAAATGCAAAGGTGGGTGGACATCCACTGATCAAACCTTGACAGGGTTCCCTAAACCCTAAACTCTAAACCCTAAACCCGAAACCCTAAACCCTAAACCATACGTACCAGGGTGGGTTTTGGGTCTACGGCTTCAGGGTTTAGGGTTTGATTTGAGTGCAAGCTCTCCGCTGAAGCT